CAGATTGTTGGGGGCCATAGGCTGACTCTCTCTCTTTCTCCTTCTCTCTTTCTCTCTCTCTCTTTCTCTCTCTGTCTGTGTGTGTGTGTCTCTCTCTTTCTCCCCAGATTGTTGGGGGCCATAGGATGACTCTCTCTCCTTCTCCTTCTCTCTTTCTCTCTTCCCCCCCTTTCTCTCTGTCTCTCTCTCCCCCAATTAAAAGCAAAAATATTTGCATGCTTTCATTCCTGCAGAGTAGCAGGAATGTGATGCCTCAAGAAGGCAGGGAGGGGAGCCTCTGTTGATTTCAAGACAATGCCGAGAAGCAGACAAAAGAAAACCCATCAGATTTCATTTGTTATGCAAGACTAATGCCAACAGAAACAGTGGGGGCGGAGAGTTGATTTCATTACCCGTTTAACAGTCCGGAGAATGATTATGAGGAGCAGCCAGAAGAACATGGCAATGACTGCTGTTCCAACAAGAATAATGAGCTCAAGGTTTGTTTTCTCCTCGGTCCCTGGGAAGAAACAATGACATAATTCATTGATAGGCTCCAAAGCCTTTTGGGATGGGGTCATCAGCTGAAATACTCAAAAGGGCACTCTTGTCCAAGAAAGAAAAAAACGTTAGATGCCCAATACCTAACAAGTCTAAGGCAAAAAAAAAAAAAAACAATACCCAAACAACCCTGTCAAGAAAACATCAATTTTTTTCCTCAGAACAAAATACAACCATCGCATCACCATCATTGCTTCCTGTACCACGCAAATACTAAGCACAAACATTGATTACAATACTGTCCCGGTAAACATATAATCAAGTTCTTCTTCACTACTCAGAGATACCCAGGGCTGGGCTGCTGGGGGTTCGCAGGGGTTCAGGAGAGCCCCTAGCTAAGATTCTGTCCAGTTCGGAGAACCCTCAATTCTCACTCCTGCCTGGCCCCGCCCCCCCAACCCACCTCACCCCTCCCAGGAGTCCTGATGTAACCCGTTTTGAATACAGGTAAGTGCAGGGTGCGCATAGAGGCTCAGGGAGGGTGAAAAATGGGCTTCCTGGAAGTTCAGAAAGGCCAGAAACGGGCCCGTTTCCAGCTTCCAGAGAGCCTCCAGAGCCTCCGGAGCCCGGGGAGGGTGAAAATGTCCCCCCCCTCCCTTGTGGTGCACGAGGCCGACTAGGCCACGCTCACCCAGCAACCGGGCAGAAAACCCATTGTTTAAATTTTTTTGAAGCCCCAGCCCTGGATATATCTACAGATCAGAATGTGATTAGGAAAATATTAGAATGTGCAGAAATGAAGAAATTAATGTTGGCAATTAAGGAGAAAGAGCAAACTGATTATTATATGATATGGGATCGATTTTATCAATAGTTAAATAACAACAGTGGAAGTTAGAAACAGGGAAACAAAATAAAGAAGATATGTTAAAAGCGATAAGTAAATATTACAACTAGTACATTGAATATTACTATTTGAATGTTGTAGAATTAATATATGGAATATTACTATTTTAATATTGTTGAATTAATATCAGTGTAATGAATGATGTTGCCAATTTTGATTATTGTTCAATAAAGATATTGGTACTCAGACAACACACTGTTCCATTGAAGATGGAATTATTATATTAAAAATGTATTTTAAAAAAAGTTCTTCACTATTCTGGTATAAGCCAGAGATTTACATAGCCAGGGATTCACTAGTAGCTTATGGCAGCACTAGTGACTTAAGGCCAAACAAATGAAAGCCAATATTGAATATTTTCCCATTTAAAACAATGGTAGGTTTTTCAGTTGGCCTGAGTCTTTCAGCTTGGTAAGATAGGGGCAACTCCAGAAAAAATGAAACGTCTGCAAGCAAATAACCAAGCTCAGAGAGCAGCAAGGACTCTATTGTCCAAATAATGTACATACATTATTTCCTTTTGGGACCAGACACAAGTAAAAAACCTAGACCTAAGGAGAAATGTCCTGACAGAACAATTAACCAGTGGAACAACTTGCCTCCAGAAGTTGTGGGTGCTTCATCACTGGAGGCTTTTAAGAAGAGATTGGATAACCATTTATATGAAATGCTATAAATTCTATTCTATTCTATTCTATTCTATTCTATTCTATTCTATTCTATTCTATTCTATTCTATTCTATTCTAAATGTGACAGTTTAGTATAATGAATACATATCAAGGAGAAATCCAGGCTGCATGAAAAGATGGGAAGTGTCAAGGAGCTAGAAACGGCTCAGTGAAATGAAAGAGTAAAGACAAAGTATAATCAGGCTTAGGTGGGTGGTAAGCCAACTCCATGAGAAAGACTAATCTTATGAAGGTGAATGGAGAAAGTGAGCTTCAGTAGAAGGGGATTATTGGGTCAACAATGGGACCCGATTGGCCTTTCCCCAAATGTTCTCCAAATTTGTGGGATTTCAAGTCCCTATTATTAGTCAATAGGCCTGGATTTACAGTTTCAAAACCACTTGAGAGGGCAGATGGGGATAAATGAAGGAAATTTGGTAGTTCAACCCATATGAAGGACAGACACATGGACTCAACAGCACAAGCGAATTCTCGTCTAGTATATTTTTTAGAATGTCTGAGGACCAAAAATTGATCTTTAGAATAGAAATAGAATAGATAAGATAGAATAGAGCTGGAAGGGGGGGGGGGGAGAGAGAGAGAGAGAGAGACAGACAGACAGACAGACAGACAGACGTACAGTGAGAGTGAAAGAGAAGGGGAAGGGAGGGAGAGATCAGAGACAGACAGACAGACAGACAGAGAGAGGCAGAGAGTGAGAGATCAGAGAGGCAGAGAGTAAAGCTTTAGTTGTTTCCACTAAAAAAAGGAAAGAAAACATCCTAGATTCTGAGGAAACACATCTTATTTATTGAAAAACTAATGCTATATATTTGCACAAAGGATTATTTACAGACATTTTTCATCCAACAATAAGAAGTTGCTTAGTACAACACATCCACCTCAGGCTGGAGATTGTAAGAATAACAGGATGTAACTCTGACGTGCTAGTTTTTTTTTAAAACAAACTCGTGACACTAAAGCAGTACTTTTGAAAAAGGAAATAGGGAAATAGTATATTAATATTTAAACATATTAGCATGAAATCACAGGGCTGTGCATTCAGTACCAGAACAGTGTTTTGGAGCATGCAGAGTTTATTCATCTGAAACTTTTTCAAGAAGCTGTATCTTTTTCTAGGACCACACGTTAGTTGCAGAACCGTTTGAAACCTCAAGAAAGATGCAGCTGCTTTAAAAAGCTGAAGACAAGTACCATATAATATTTGCATTGATGTGGGCTCCAAGAATTCTCCAACACTGGAAGTTTTTAAGAAGAGATTGGACAACCATTTGTCTGAAGTGGTATAGAGTTTCCTGCCTGAGCAGGAGGTTGGACTAGAATACCTCCAAGGTCCCTTCCAACTCTGTTATTCTGACTGAGAATCTCTATACACATCTTTTTGAAATAGAACCCAAAATACTAAATAGCCTTATTCAATGTCATAATATAAAGAGTTTGACATTTGACATTATTTAAGTAATTGGCATACTTGGATCAAATTAAAAGAGCCACTTGGAAAATATCTAATTGTAGTATATATACTACATTTAGATATTTTCTGAGTGGCTATATATATATAACCCTAACTCTAACCCTAACCCGATAGGATGGATGGATAGATAGATAGATAGATAGATAGATAGATAGATAGATAGATAGATAGATAGATAGATAGATAGATAGATAGATAGATAGACAGACAGACAGACAGATGGACAGATGATAGAGATAGATAGATGATAGATAGACAGACAGACAGAAAGATGATAAAGAGATAGATGGTAGATAGATAGATATGATAGATAGATGATATAGATAGATAGATGGTAGATAGATAGATGATAGATAGATAGATAGATAGATAGATAGATAGATAGATAGATAGATAGATAGACAGACAGACAGACGATAGTTAGATGATAGATAGATAGACAGATGATAGATAGATGAAAGAGATAGATGTTAAATAGATAGATATGATAGATAGATGAGATATAGATAGATAGATAGATAGATAGATAGATAGATAGATAGATAGATA